TGTGTCAAACTTTGGTACGCTCGTTTTACGATTTTTAAAAAAATATTTGTTTGCATATTAAAATAACTACACGCATTTTCCAGCAGCTCGGCACCGGATATGCTTATGTATTTAATACGAATTCCAAAATTGTAACCAAATGACATACCAAGGAAATTGGAAACTTTATTAAAATGCCACTCTGACGTAAGATGTAAATTTCTCGGCCTGGAAAACCCCCTAATTTAGCGTTGATAACGAGTCTCTATATTGATCCTTATAAGCCCAAGAAAAGCGAAAGCAGAGGCTTAATTACCGTAAAAGCTCCACATAATATTTTGTTGTGACCTCGGCCCGAAGTGCGCTTTAAAATAAAAACATGTTGCCATCGCTGATTCAATCTGAGGAACAGGAAAAGATTGATGTAGTGATAGAAACCGATGGAACGAAAACAATTCGCTTTTACCTCATTCGAGTATCCATCTGATAAATCGAATTACGTTTTGATAACAATAAAGGTCGGACGTAATAGCGAAATAATATTATCGTTTATACGACTGAAACTTGAGGTATTTCATATCTTCCGCGCTTTTGATTAGATTATTTTGATGAATTCCAATGATTTTATTTTGAGATATTTCCGACAGCGCAACGCATTTCTTGTTTAACTTTCGCATTATAACGTAAAATTTAACAGTGTTTCACATTCTTGCGGCTTGTAAACACTATGTTCGGGATTTATGTCTGGCGAGTGTAATAAAGACGACAATTAATGTGGCTGAAAAGTTAAAGGTGTTGTACTTGATGTAATTAATGTTTTCTCGAAGTCTTATTCCCGTGTGGCCATCAACTCGGTGAGGATACATCTCCAGGAGCTCGAAAACTAGTTGATTCTCTAAGTAAACATAACTTATTCAACTGTAGACGTAGAGGTGGCTAGTGGAAACTTTTCCCTGTCATTGTATAGTGTCTCAGCGAAAAAGTTTTTGTAAAATAAAAAAAAACGAAAGCTCTATTGTGGAAATAATTCTTACTTACCAACAAATTTACAAATAGAAAAGTTAAATTTCTTTTAAACTGAACTCATAGTGACATATTTCTTATGATATCTTCGTACGTATTAAAAAAAATCAAAAACTGTTTGAGAAAAACCAAAAGCTATCCTAAATACACGAAAATGTCTACCAGAAACACTAAAAAAAATGTATTATACCGTTTGAAATAAAGTTAATTTTCGTTCATTTATTTGAGTGTGTGACAAGTCACCCGGTATATGTTGTCGTTGTACTTTTACACGTTTAAAACCACCAAACATCAAATATTTTTATTAAATCTGCATTTTCCGGGAATGAGTTAAAATTTGAAACGGTAATTAAAACATCAACACAGTTGTAATTACCGACGAAAATTTCCATGAAAACGCAATTTTATACATCCAAAGAGATCATGAAAATCAAAAAACCGAATATTATTGTGCTTTCACATTTTACGCCTGTGTTATTATTGCTCCCTGTTATCTATTTTGCTTTTATTTTGGTTATGACTTCGTCAGCTTTGTAGTTTCACATTTGTTTCGTATTTTCAGATACTCGTATTGATTAGTTTCGAATACTTTCAGTGAACCATTTTGCGGATATCTTACGATTTATGAGTGACTTCTAATGCGTCTTCAGTGATTCACATTTAAAATTAGCTTATATAGAAAAACAAATATAGCATCAAGGCTATAAACATATTTTTTCCGTATACGTACTGTTTAATTTAAATTTTGTTTTTGTAACGAAATCGTTGGTGAGTTCCACGTATTTGTAATAAACGCCTCGTTGTATTGTATTTGTTATTGTTGATTTAATATGCTTTTGAAGTGTTATTATTTACTTTTACCTTTTCATTTCCCAGCCGTAAACTGGGGATGTTTTGTAATAGGATCGTTATTTTATGTGCTCATGGCTCCTAGAGTATGGAAAAGTAGGTCCGTCCATCTGTTGTCTGGCGATTTTATTAGACAGAATAATGTTCTAAAGTCTACAATTTGATGATGTCATCTCAAAAGTTTTTACTTTTAACATCAAGAAAAAATTCAGAACAATTATAGATCTACACTGGTAGTAGCCGTCTTTTGGTGTTTTTTAGTTCTCTCGTGTTTTTCTATTCCAAAATTGTTCATAATTCTATTTAGTTATTGACTATTTTTTTAAAGATGTGATTCACTAATTTATTTATTTTTTATAATAAATATATCGATGACTTTTTACATCAAAAAATTAAAAAATTGTAAAATCGAGGTATGTAAAATGTAAAAAATCGAAAAAGGAAAAAGTCAAAAAACCGGGAAATCAAAGAATGGAATATTGAAAAATTGAGAAATCTAAAATTGAAAAATCGAAAAATAAAAAAATCGAGAAATCGAAAATTCGAAAAGTCGAAAAATGGAAAAATTGTTATTCAACTTTTTGTCAAAAATTTGGATATTGAAGATAAAAATTCAATAAGGATTCATAAACCACAAGTTGACCTTAAAACGTTCGCACGAAGAGTTACTGAAATTTATTCCATTGTTGGTGGAAAATCGTCACAAACGAGAGGCAGACAGACAGACAGACAGACGTGAAGGACAAATCTATGTCTTCGTACTCTAGGGGTCATGAAACGTCGAAAAAAATATGACAGTAGGTAGCCAGTTTTTTATAATTTGGCAATCTTCATACGTGATTCAGTTTGTGGATACTTCAGAAAAGTATTCGTGGGACAGCAATTTGTAATCTAATCATGAAAGGAGAGTTTTTACGGGCGACGGAATAGCTGCTAGGACTGACACGTTATACATTTTAACGAATTAGTTTATCTTTCTAAATGAGATTTCACTATTCACTAAATTCAATGAATCAGAAAAATAAAAGTGGTCCGCAGAATTTAAGTTCCTCAAATTCAACGCCTTATATCAACCGGCTCTGACCTAATTGATAATCCGTTCGCGAGATATCAGTTATGTGAAACATGTGGCAAATATTGCACAAACATTTTTGTGAAGTAATTGTGATTAAAAATGAAGGCGGAGTCATAAACCACAAGTACAGGAGTATGTTATCTTATACAATTTAAATTTTATTTGCTAAGTTAATTGTAGGTGAAGATGATTAGAGCAATTCTAGCTAACTTTTTACGTTGTGCACGATTTTCCTAACAAATATTAAAAATTTGACAACAATCAGTCCGATAGTTTCAGAGATTATCTCTCTAATAAAAATTGACAGAGACAGCAAACAGGAGAGCTACTGTCTCCTAGTCTAGGGGCAATGAAATGTCCCGAAAACATGAAAGTAGCCATTCTTCGGATGATTACAACAGTTCTTTAGCTTAGGTTTGGGAAGTAAAAAAAGCCTGACTGTAGCTAGTTATTTTGAATTTTTGAGAAGTAATTTAATATTTGATTTATGTTCATAACGAAAATCCAGGGTCGAATCTGTTTTCAACAAAATGGTTATTATCTGTAATGTTCAGAGTATTTGAATTTGGTTTAGTAACTATTTTGGCACTTTTAGTAATTTAAATTTTCTTATAAATTAATTTTGGCCGTTGCATTAAGTGCGAAAAATTTAGTTTCCACTTAAGATATAATAACTAATGTGGCCGACTTTTGATAGTTTTATAATCTAGTATTTTTTTGTGGTATATAATACAAACTAAACAAATACTGATGATATCATAACTCCGATGTCGTAAATCAAGTAATCTCCCAAGTTGTTCCTATAATGTGGCTCATGCAAAAACTTAATCGATCAGTTGGAATGTTTTTGTCAAATTTCGTTCCTGAATTTATTATCGTATTTATTCCGGACTTTATGGACACACTGAACTGATTTCAGACCGCAGTCGAGGTAATTACCTCATCAGGACACAGCATCAATGAAATGTAAAGTAGCGCTAAAGAGACGCAGAAGTGCTAGTTGTAAATGGGTGAAAGATAACACAAGTTTCTTATATTTTTTTCAGTGTAAATTCTCAACCTAATATGTATTAGGACTATTAATTACTTCTGGTTATCGGTGACTTAAATTTTTTTAATTTCTGCTAGAGTTAGTTAGCAGATTCAGTGTAACTGCTGACATGGCTCACTATAGCAGAAATTTAAAAAATCACCCAATATATTTAATTAGTTACAGAGTGCTAAAAGTCTGAATCTGCTACGATCCGATAACTACTTATTCGAAGGTAATGTTTAAGTACCATAAACAAACTGTTAAAGATTACCCAAAAAAGTTATTTGATAACATTTAAACTCTATTTCCTAATATGGCGACAAAAATAAACTAATCAGTAATAATAATCAAATCAGGACTTGTTAATGATCCATCCGAAAAGTATCGCATTTGTGTGCAGACTGTGAAAGTGTTAAAAGGCCCACTTTCTTATACCTTATTTGGTAAATATATGGTAAGCGTTAAGCGTATTTAATTTATGTCTGTCTTTTGAATGTCTTCACAACAAATAATTCGCATTTTAGTGTTTTAAAGTCAAAAATCAAAAAATGGAAAAAGCTGTTGTGTAAGTTCTAATAGTTCTATCTATCTAAAATTTCGATATTTGTCGTCGACTAAAATCTGACTTAATTCGTCAAATACAGTTGTAATAAGACGGTTGATTCATTCTGGTCAGTGTTTTTTTTACAGAGTGATAAAACAACTTCAACGTTGGTATTTTATCACCTTGAATTTATTTTCATTTAGTTGGTTGCAATTTTAGAATTTTAAAAATTAAAATTTCAACCAGTGTATTCAAAAAATAAGTAAAAAACTTACCATTCTCGGTTGTTGTACTTATCACCTTCAATCCGTTTAAATTTTACTGCGTCGTAACTTTTCCGGAAAGTCACAACACATCTGTTTTATTTATTTTTTAATTAACTGCTTTACACGAGTGACATTTTTCGCACCAGTGAGTCCTCGAACTAATTATATTAACGCGTAATAATTAGGAAGTGCAAACATAATAAGAAAATTAAAAATTTTTCATGTTTGCAGGTCGTGCAGCTTCCGCTCCCAACTAATCAAATTTATGGTAAGTAGTTAATTATTTTCACAGATTTTTTAATTAAACTTGCTGTGTCGTTGAATAATTAATGTCGGACTTCGATATAAATAGAGAAGTTGAGAAATGCGACCAACATCAAAGGTTTCGTAATTGAAAACTTCAGCACACGACGCGTCTGCGAAAAGAGTTCTTGTTTTGTTATTCAGCACAATGACAAATCACCACCGTTTCAGGAAAAAATGGCGATGCGAAGGTTCTCATTTCAGCCTGAGCAAGTTTTATTCAGGACGCTAGTTTTTGCTTTTATTTAAATTTTTTGTTTAAACGAACCTCGTCCTCGCCCTTCTCCACGGGGACCGAAAATTGAGCTAATATTGATGGAAAATAAATTGGTGTTCCTAAACAGACAACCATCCCTAAGTCCGGGATTTGTTGTTTATTGTCTAATCGAATCCTTTCTTGAATTAACTGGAGCTTAAAATAAAATTGTGGGGTTGCTTTGTTTGGAGAAAATGTAAGAAAAATGATAAGAGTAATTTCTCAAGTAAATGGAAGCACTACAGTGTTATCACCGCTCTCATTACATAAAAAAAGAGATAAGGCGCAATCTGAAAATTCGTTTCCGGCGGAGCTTTTCAGTTCATTTTGAGATAGCATTATGTTTCTTGTGACCAAAGTTTTTACTAAAATTACGATATATTGTTTTAAAACAAATACAAGCCAACGAATTCAGTCTTAATTTAGATAATACAGAATTCGCTATAAATTGCATGAATACATAATGACTTATAACAGTTAACATTAAGCAAAACTGACGTTTAAAAATTAATGTGCAACGTTGATATTGCATTCATTATAGAAAAATGTTATCATTCGTATCTAACAAAGTGTGATTTTCCCTGGCAATTTACATTTACAATCTAGGAATGACATGAAACAGAAATCTTGTCTTAGTTTATTTGGTTTTATGATGGTGCTGCATTGCTAAATCATTCCTGATCTCTTGATCTCGTCGCGTTCCTTCGGAAATCACTGAGGAATCCGGGATCGTTGCCCGGCCTTTCCGGGATAAGTCTAGGATATTTGAAGTGTACTAGAACCGGTGTGGTTTATCCGTCAAGGGATCAGGAAAACGTTTTACATGTGAACACCTGATAATTTTCCCTGGTGACATTTTCAAATGCTTGTTTGTTTACCACATAGGAACAATATTTCGACATCAGAAATACACAAGTATTGATTTTTAACATATAAGATAAAATTAAGAAAGTGATTTTCAATTCTTCGTAAAAGTGTGCACATGTATCAGTTTACAAATTTAATTCTAAGCTGCTCTTCATCAGCATTTATCTTCATTTATCCAAGAGCCACAATCAAGTTAAATGCTTGGGTCATTTGGAGGGTAATTGCTTTTGTTTGATATGGTAAAACTGCACGTTTATAAAGATTCCTTATTATATTTATTTTCTAAAGACAAAAATCAGTTAAGTATGTCACTTTTTGGTTTTCATTAAGTTAAGTTTACACTGAGTTTATAATATGATATCTAAAATATACAAATGGAATCAGAACAATTATTATTATGGGTTTTAACATTTTAAATTTTAAGGTCGTTTGCAATCTCGCAGCTGCTTTGCAATATATCACGACTGATTTTTCAATAACGTATTATTTCATATATTTACATTTCCATAAATCAGAATGTATGGCGTGACACAGTTTTGATAAAATACAAGAAAAGTATTCCAGCTACAATTATACCATGTTTATTGGTCATAAATCGTCGCTAATAATAACAGCCAATACTTATTTATTAACAACTCTCTCTTCAATAAGCCTTTCTTGGTTATTAATCGAGAAAAAAATTATCAATTTATTACTGATATATAACTAGACAATTACGTAAACCTTCACATTTGTTTGAATTCGTATTTCATAAAAAACTTATGGTTTTCTCTACCACTAGGTGAGGGAAGCATTGTAATAGGATCATCTATCGAATTTCCAATTTCATGTTTTGTTAGCTTTGTAAAACACAAAAATGCCGGTTGCCTCTTTGCGTCTTTCAGTCTTCTGTTTACGATTTTACATTTTATTAGATAGATCGTCTCTGGATACGTCAAACAGATTCTTGGAAGTTTTGGGAAAAGGTATTTTACATTATCGTATAGACGGTTTTGTTCATGTCCTACAAAAAATTTGTGACGTCATTTCAAACTATTGTTAAGACAAATCTGATTTTAGATGTCCACTATAGTGTGTTCATTTACCAGTGGCTTATCTATCTTTACTTTTTTTAATTACTTTTAAAAATCTCACCTTTACGTTTGACTTCAGAGATTAGATACAGATTCTTTTGCAAGTACGCATGGAGCGTAACACTAATTGTAGGATTAAGGAATACCAATTAACTGACTTAGGGGTCAATTCCAAGTTGGTGGCGCAAGTCACTGGTGCAGCGCAACTTTATAATGCTAATTTGGGTATCAAATGCTGGTTGCTAGGGGTGACGGAATAAACAAGCGCAATTTTTCGAGATAAATTGCGCCAACTTGCACTGCCTACTAGAGGTGCCGCAACTCCATGGTGCAAATTTCAATGGAAAATTCGACACAACTGCGTTTGTTGATTCCGTCACCCCTAGCAACCAGCATTTGATACCCAAATTAGCATTATAAAGTTGCGCTGCACCAGTGACTTGCGCCACCAACTTGGAATTGGCCCCTTAGTGTCAAAAATTCATGATATTATCGCAAAAAATTCAAATAATTTATCGTATCAATTAATCCAACAAGGGTTTAGCTAATTTATCTGAAATTGTAGGGACACAGTAAAGTCATTTTTATTGTTAGATACGTACAAAATTAATATATTTGTCCCTATCAAAAATTGCGAAATATTATAAGTAGTATAAGTGTTAAGCTGGTTCCAGCCAATTATGAAATTCTACTTAGCAGTTTGAACTTAAGAGAGTATACTTAACAATCCGGAGTTTAGTTTACGCTTTTTTAGCAAAAAATCAAAAAACTGTACCATTTTAACGATGTTTTAAGTTTCTTTTTGTGAAAAGATGGCTACGCTTTATATTTATATAGATATTAAGAAAAAAACGCAAAAACTGTTAGGCCTGAAGATGATATATGGCAATTTTTGAGGATTTTCGAAAAATTGGACCTTCAAATCGACAATTTCGACCCGAAATGTCGACACGCTATATTTTTTGAATCAGCACGTCGAGGTGTATATCCCAGAATTTTTTGCGGGTTTTTAGTCAAGTTTTCCAATTTTGCTCATTTTTTCAAAATTCCCCTTTAGCAGTTTTCGACAATTTTTGACCACCTTTGAAAATTACCAACAAGGATTTTTGTGTACATACATTTCCATTTTCCGAAACTCTTTTCGGCTTCATTTTTTCGAAAATTCCTACCATTTGATACGTTTTGCTATATGGAAATTTTTAGAATTTTCAAAAAATTGGGCCTCCAAATGAATAATTTTGACCTAAATTTCAAATCACCACGTCGAGATCTGTATTCCAGAATTTTTTAAAAATTTTCCAAAAGCTCAAATTTTCAGAACTCCTTCATGAAATTTTCGATTATTTTTTAACCAATTTCGAAAATTACCCAAAAAGACTGTTAAATAGATTTCCACCTCCAAAAGTTATTTGCGGCATCATTTTTATGTAATCGTCAATATGAAGTTTGTACATTTTTAGGATTTAAAATTTATAAAGTACCGCGTTCAAAATTTGTAAATAAACGGCGTCTTTCGTTCATGAAACGGTGTCTGAATTCAAAAAGTACGGCATAAATTTATACTGTTAACATGAAATTAAAAAAATTTGGATGTACAGTGTAAAAAATAAAGGCGAATTCATAAACAACAAATTTTGTTTTTTATAAAAGACATATAACGTTTGACAACATACAGCCCGGTAGTTTCGAAGATTATCTGTCTAAATTTTAAGGTGGTTTAAAAGCGACAAAGAATTAATGACATCAACTTAGAAACCGGTTAATAAATAAAACTTGGATGTTAGTTCTCTTTGAGTGATGAGGTGATTTTGATTTTTTTTTTTTAATATAATTTATGCGCAGAAAGTGTAAAAACAAACTAAACAACTTGAACAAAAGAGAGATAAAATTTAAGTTGTCAAAAAATAAAAACTGTAAATTCATCATGTTTTTCAAGGTCCAATATAGCATACCCAATGAAGTAAATACGAAGTCATTATTTTTCAGTTACGTACTCGTATCGTAGCTGAAATTTTAACTTTAATTAACTACTATTAACAGTTCATTCAAAATCATGAGTTTTATTTTTTTTTATCCACTGAAAATGAAATAAACATCAAATTTTTACTTCTCGAGCGTAAACAAAGGAAATATTGTAATCGAGTCCATCGGACGAATGGCCACTTTTATATTTTCTCGACGTTTCATGACCCCTTGCATTGGTATTTCTTTTGTACTGTGACTAGAATTATCCATGTTGATGACGTCATCACAAATTTTTTATTGGTCACATTAAGAACGAGTCACCCCATTTTCTCGAAAATGTCGCACGTCTTTATATAATAATGATACAATAAGAATTATAATATTCAGAACATTTTGTTCGATTAATAATTTTAGTCCTGTTTTGAGAAGACAAAGTCGTTCAAATCAAACTAATATCTACGTGACATTCTTTGGATGTATAAATATAAAAAAACACTTGAGCTTCAGAGTGCTATTACCTAGTACTGAAGGACAAGGGGTGTTATTTATGCCTCTGGTTTTCACTTAACAGCGGTTATCACAAAACGAAAATCGGAAAATCAAATTTTATAATTTTTTTAAAGACCTGGATTTGTCGGATTATACTTACAGCCTTCGACCAAATTTTTATTGATCAAATTAAAAACCTCATTTTTTACATTTGCTTATACAAAGTCACTCCAAAAAATTAATGAATCAGTCAATTTAGTTAGTTGAATTGATCAAGATTTGGAAAATTGAATGCTTTGAAATCTTGCAGACGTT